GACATGTGGAGATTATCCGGCTGAACAAAACGCGCATTTATCAAACAGGTTCGTTTTCCACAGATCTTATTTTGAGCTATTTTCCAAAATCCTATGGAGAATCCATTGCTTTTTTGTTGAGAGAACCCATGCACAGCTTATTTCCGGGTAAATATGTCATCCCTGCACCACTCTATTGTCAAGGATTTTGCCTTTTCTCTTTTTTTCCTTTATTCAGTGTTGAATTGTGGTTTCTCTCTAGTCAGAATTACATTGCCAAAAGCCTGGATCTCTTTTTGCTGAAGAGGCATTTTACTGTGCAGTGTAAGCAGGGTCTTTCCATGGAAGTATCATAGACATAATTATAAGGTTTATTGTGCAGCCAGAGAACCCCTTCAAAATTCCACTTTACCATGTAAGCCTATCAGTTTACATAGTGTAATGAAAATATGGGTTTTATCCTAATCACTAATCATGCATTGAATAATTTTAAATCACTGTCATATCCATTGTGATTCAGTATTGTAAAACAATACAAATAAGTCCTCTTAAGCACTGTTTGTTAATCTCTTAACGCTACACATCTGTCACTGCACTTTCAGCATAAATACTCACACCACAAGAACTCAAACTTAGCACGAACTGCACTGTCATTCATTCTGCTGACCACACTCTGACCTTTTAAGATTTGAGCAAAGCAGAAGTGATAAATATCCGATATCTGCCCAGACAATGACGCTGGTCTTCTCACGAAAGAGGAAGCCTTTCCCTCGCCATAATATTGCAAACTCTTTCTAGAGCAGGTTAACCATAAAGTACGTGCATGCTGATACAACCCAGACACAGCTGCCCTGTCACTGTCGGACACTCCTAAAGGTGCAAAAATCACACAGAAAAAACCCAACTGGATGTAGTTCCCATGGATCGATGTTATCAAATAACATCGTATTTGTCCCATTCTGATGAGATTTACTTTTATGTTTATTTTCCTCTTATCACCATCATACAGCAGAAATGTGGATGTTAGACAAAGTTGACAAAATAATGAACTAATTGCATCTCAACTTGACTCGAGTTACAGGAGTTGAGTTGAATTGACTTGAGAGACTCAGTCTTAATGTCCTTTTAAAGGAATTGTAACTTTTTGGTAGCAAAGTTATTTTGGGTCGCAGAAAGTAAATCAGGTTGTTCCGTAATAACAACACTGATTATTTAATGTATTCACAAGTTAAAAAAATACAAGTACAATCATAAGACATAATTGAGGTGTGTGAAATAGGATAACCAATCAACTATACAAAGCTTCAGAAAAGGGGCTGAGACACTATAAAGTATTTTTAATTTACATTATAATATATGATGTAAAGTACTTACGATACGATATACTTTATTGTCTCCGTAAGGAAATTTGTTCTGGACTCCGTCTTGCAGTTCCGCATACATGTACATATACAAACATAGTAGACATTAAGAGACATACACATATCATCAGTCATACACCGTTTTGAACAAACACAATACACAGACGCACATACTGACAATGGCGACCTATTGCACTACCCCTCATGGCCAACATTTAAAAAGTACATTTCATTACATTTGACTACATTTCATTTCATGTGAATGTTAAGAAGCTTAATGGACATAGGTAGGAATGAGTGCTTATAGCGGTTCAGCCTGCTCTTGGGAACCCTGCATCTTCTACCAGAAGGTAGGAGCTGAAATTCTGGGTGGAGTATGTGGGTGGGATCAGACACAATTTTAGTACATCCTTTATTGTTGAAACCTCTCGATTGAAGAGAGTTCATGCATTATGCAGAAACATTACAAGCTAAAAAACACCTAACACAATGATCAAGTACTATTACCCTCTGAAATATTGAGACAGATGTCAAGTGAGGTTTTTTTTGCAGGCAACAAGTTCAAATGTGGGAGTCTGATAGAAAAGACAGCTATTGTTTTCATGTCCCCTCCCTCCATGACAACAGCTGTAGAGTGGAGGTGTGGGCCCCCAGCAGGAGAATACACTGGGATCTGCTCAATCTGGGCTTAGAGACAAACATGCATGGCTTCCCTGAGTGTGGCGTGTGTGGGCTTTCCTCTGTGCAACAGGGACTGGTTTCAAAATAGCTCATCAAAAACCCTCAGGCCCTTTATTGTGTTCTTTGGGATCAAGAAAATGTTATGAAGATGTTATATTTTATCCTCGGAGCTCAGATAAAATGTCCCCCTCTCGCTGTAGCTCTCTTTGTCCATTGCTTATCTCACTGTGAAAACTGATGATTTATGTACAGTCTTTGCACTCTAGTTTATGTGTTATTGCGATAAGGATGGTGGGTCTCTGTGCGTCTATGTGTGGTTTATGACTTTTTATTGAGACCACAGATTGTAGGACTGCCTACTGGAGGACACAAACATTCCGTGGGAATGCACAGTCCCACCCGTTCCCAATCCCATTCCTTATCTCCGGCATTCTCCTAAGAGGGATGTATAATAACCATCCTTATCCAAGACCAATTGACCGCTGCACTGCTGGTAACCATATGTAAATTACAAGTATGTGCACACTGCAGTTTTATTTAAAAAATTGTGATTAGCATCATTAACTGCAAAACTGCAAAACACTAAGGTATTAGGTGTAATACAATTTTAAATGCAACTTGGAACCGAAGATATTAGTTATTGCATTTAATTCAAAGAAGAAAAAGACATGGAAAATACAGAAAAGAAAAGCGACACAAATGTGGGAGAGCGATATCGAGCTGGAGGTGAAAACCTCAAGTTTTGCATACTTGCCAGCGCCTCTAATACACAGTACGCCACGCCATGTCCAACTGCCTCCTCACCTGCCTCCAGTGGGGCCCTGCCCAAGGGTGTGAACATCAAACAGATTTTTAAAAAGCTGTTGTTTGTCACCATTCATTAAAATCATCATCAGGCCTAGCAACAGTACAAATTACACGTGGCTTTAGGTCCCAAAATGTAATGTGATAAAATATTAAATGTGTTTGCTGCTTTTTTTATTAATGCGTGTTTGTCATTAGGGCTTGTGGCTTTCTTACTTATCACTTTACACACACATAAACAAGCACACGCCCCAACGCCACCAACCTTTTTGTCAAGGCATTGGGGGAATTCCCAGAAACCTTCATGTGTACAGGTGATTTGCGTATGTTCACTAATCTATGGGGTTTAGCTATAACTGTAAACCCACTACACCTGGACACACACACACACACACACACACACACACACACACACACACACGGCCCCTTACTCATCAGGCGCTGATGACCGTGTTGATAAGATTAAATGTTGAAGCCATTAATGGTCAACAAGGTTTGTGTTTGTGTGTGTGTTTGCATAGCATTCACAAGTCCGTTCTCTTTTTCACCTGCCATCTTGTGACCGTTAAACATTTCAAGTGACTCAGGCACAGTTCATGAAGATCATCGATTAAATCTCCCTCACTCACCCACAGATGCTGAAGGACAAAGAAAATATGCAAATGTAATAAAAATTGCCTGTAATTGCCAAAGAATTACAGTGGTCACTTCTGCATTTCCTGCAGAGAGTCAGGTGTGGCAAACTTCTGCCAAGAGATTAATAAACATACTGAAATAAAGTAATATATTTAATTCAGTAGTTGTTTTATCACTCCAAAGACCTGTGGTAGTTTTTATGTGGCTTTATTTATTTAATTGGTAGCTGCAAACCTTTATTTTTAGCTTCGACTTCCCCACCTGCTCTTAAAAAACACAGTTGATAACATTTTTAAAGCAATTCTGCAAACCCATATCAGGTGTGAAAGCTGGATGGGCTAATAAACACTTCTGAGGTTTCACCTGCCTCACTGTGTGTTTTTCACTGCAAGGGTCAAATGTCTCTGGCCTTATCATCTGTCTGGGTCCTCCAGGTGCAGCTGAGTTATAGGAATCCTAACCGTCACCTATTTCATTCAGCGCTCAGGGATTTTCCGAACACGTTTATCAAGTCTTTATATCAAGTTCTTGAGAAGTGTCTTTATGATTTCACAGCTTTTACCTTCTACTGCTGCTCTTTCAACTACTAATGTTACTATACTGCCATGTCTGATTTGTCCACTAGGTTTTGGTACTGGCGTTGTAATGGTAATAAAATGTTTTTGGTAATGGGTTATAATTAAGTACATAATGTATGTTTGCACACATGAGAGAGAACTACTGATTTATATGTTTAACTTTTGCAGTATAATAGATAAGATAATATTAGATACACTTACTTATGTCTCACCACATCATCAAGATTATGCCCTACTCTGTGGTTTGATTTGTTACTTATGGATATGTTTTCATCAGTTTTGAACACTATCCTGCGGGTTAAAAAAAGGTTGTATGACATCATGAGCTTTAAGTACGGGAAATGCTCTCCATATTTCACGGAAACTATTTCTCAACCTTGTTAAACAGGTTTCCCGCCTGCCTTTAACTTCTCTTTAAAAACCACAGCCGCACCGGACAATCTTATAAACAAACAACTTGCGTAAAATAATCAATTCATCATTAGATTTCTCAATCAAACCAGAATCTAAATATTTGCCTGCCATAGGTTCTGATTATTTATACCTGCACAAACATGCACAGAGTAAACAAAGCTGTGCTATGTGCTTACAAAAATGCTTTAGTGCTTAAGCGTCTTTGAGTTGTGAAAAGCGCTATATAAATAAAATGCATTATTATTATTATTATTATTACAAGTAGAGCAGTAACATTTCACAGTGCATCGCAGTTTGTGTGTGTGTGTGTGTGTGTGTGTGTGTGTGTGTGTGTGTGTGTGTGTTGTGTGTGTGTGTGTGTGTGTGTGTGTGTGTGTGTGTGTGTGTGTGTGTGTGTGTGTGTGTGTGTGTGTGGTGTGTGTGTGTGTGTGTGTGTGTGTGTGTGTGTGTGTGTGTGTGTGTGTGTGTGTGTGTGTGTGCATGTGTGCATGTGTGCATGTGTGCATGAGTTAAAACAGAACGAAAGGTTCAAAGCCTGCAGGTGGTCAGCCTGTCACACAGATGGGAAATCACTGGCGCTGTTGGCCCAGCTGCTGTTTCAATAAGAGCTTTACACATAAGCATGCATAGGTACATGTACACAATGTTTATGTCTAGAACCAAAAAGAGAGAGAAGAAGAACATTTAAGTATATTTTGGTCAATAAAAGTGTTAAGTACCAAGTTATTTCTGATACACTTCGACATATAACATTCTGTGCACTCTAGGTGTACAGTGTGTGGGCCTGTGATAATGTTTTACTGTGATGAATCTTTACACAACTTAAACAAGTTGTAAAGTTAGTAGTGCTATTCCTGTAAGCACAGTTTGAGTTGTTATCAATTTGAGTTGATAGCTCAGGAATAAAGCACATACCCTGATGCCTTTCCCGCTACATGTGTCATATATCATCAGTCCAATGAGGTCACAGGCTAGCAGCACTACATTTAGATTTATAATGACACTGCTTATCAGGCAATACATAACTGTCAAAGTCATTTTTTTTAACATTCATTGTTGTTAAGTATCATTTATTTTCGTTTCAATGAATATCTGTCAACATGTACGTGCTTCATCCCAGCATGCATTGCAGGGAAACACAAGGTAACACCTTAAACAGGTCAGAAGTCCATCAGTAGGTTAACACATTTTCACAAATGGCCCAAGACATTCTGATTTGACTTAAAACGCTGGACAAGGGTTGGTTGTTATACACATAGACTGGTTATACATCCCTCTCCTTGTGCTGCAGGCTCTTCGAGGCCATCAGTTGAACAAGTTTACAGTTTGTCTCAGACTCAGAAAGGCTTGGGGAAATCCCTCAGACACACACCCTATGAGGAAAGACGCATGTTGCAGTGCCAGTAGAGTTCTGGAATCTACGTCTTAATTGTACACGAAACAAAAAGGCTCACACGTCACTTGTTGACCATGGATTGCATAACGTTGCCATATTGTGCAGTGTGATGCAATATAACAACAATTTGATTTTAATGTAGCAGTATTGTGTTTTTTTAACTACTAACTATCACGTATCATAAGGTATTATATCGACAGAATAGGTGACCTTACACTACTTTTGCTCAGTAACTAATGAGTTAGTTAGCATTATTTCAGTAACATTGTTTTGAGAACAGTTTCATCATCACCCATAACCCATACGGGTAAACATGTTCAATACAATGGATTGTCATTCAAATATTTAAGTTAGTGTGCTGAGTTTTCCAATAAATATCTTCTATGTTGTGAATGAAATGATAAGAAACCACAAATATACCACAAGTTTTGATTCCATGAAAGCTTAAAACAGTTAATAAATATGTAGCTGTTATATGCAATCTGCTGAGAAGGAAAACGTTTATTTTGTAAACCACTCCCAAGGGGCTTGGCCAAAAGTGTGCAAAGACTATAAGAGAGGTACAATTTCAGGTGGAGCATCACTCAGGTGAGGCTTTCAGATACCAATGTCTCCACCCTCTCTCTCTCCTGCCTGAGGATAGTACTTTGACTCTACCAGACACAGGAGCTGTCATCTCTGACTGAACAAGGTACAGATATTATCATGTTCATTTCATTATTCATTCAGGCTCTTACTTATTGTCTTTTGCTGTCATGTGACAGACTATCAGATCATTTAGAGAAGTATGTGTGACAGCTGCTTTCACTTCATTTTGTGAGTTTTGATTCTGGTGTCTCACAAGTGTGTTTTTTCTTTCCAGGTTATTCTTTAGGTATGTTGGCAGATCTGGAGACGGTGAGTGATATTTCATTTATTTTAAGAAGTGTGTATGATGTCCTTTTTTGGTTGTTTTTACACCACGAATGACAGAAATGTGTTTATATGTATACAGTAAGATGTTTCAATAACAGTTTGCTCTAAAATACAATTGTGTTTACTGTAAATTAATTGTGTTGGATGAGGGTAAAAGGTTATTTCTGAAGAAAACAGCTAACACACGTCACTGTTACCTGAATGTTACCTGTGCTAGGAAAAGCACAAACACTTGCATAAATTTGCCAGTCAAACTCAAATACAAATTGTCACTGTTGTTACCTGGCGCAATTCCAACATCGCACACAGCTCAGGTTAAATAGACAGTTCACTGCTGCATATTATTAGTGAAGGTCTATGGTAGATGGACAAAATATATGTTTTTATATGTTATCTTCTGTTATAAATTATGTAAAAAAATTGAACATTCACAGATTCACAGCTCATTAAAAGTTGATGAATGAGTGCAGCCCTTATCTTCAGAATCTCAGAGTAAAATTATTCATGCGCAAAAGTACACCACAACAAAACAACAATGGGTGTTTCATGAAGAATAACAACACAGCAGGTGTTCGATCTGCTAATAACACAGGTTATGACTGACCCGAGATTAATGCCACCCATCATGCAAAGTGTTTTCTCTCCATCAGCGTCATGCAACAAACTCTCTCTCTCAAAATCATATTTCTGAAAGCCTGTGTCCTGCTCTTTGTTTGTCAGATGGCTTATGTGACTGAGATCAGGCTTAGCGCAGGTCGGGGGGCTTGGAGCGCAGCGGCCCCCTCCTCCTGCCCTGAGGTGGACCTGGAGGTCATCGAGGAGTACCTGCAGGAGCACTCTATGGAGGTCCATCCTGCGCACACTACTGCTTCACCTCCGGCCACTGTGTCTCCACACGCACACCCCCACCAGGGCACCAGGATCACAGGTTAGTGTGGCAGGTTTATTGGATTAAGTTTGTGCTTGTATATTTATTTTCTTCTCACTGTATGTTTTGACTGTTTCTCCGTAGTGAACAGCTGGTCAGGCAAGCATCCGTATGAGTGGCACTCTCACACTCCTCACGAGGAATATGACGAGCAAGCTCTGCATCCAGCCTGGCCTAGTCCCCATGACAACCAATGGGTGAGTTCAAGGACCTTATTTTCTTAGTACATTTAAGCTTGATTACCATTTATCATAGCTAGATATAACAAAACATTACCGTGACACATGAGGCTCTTTGATTCATGATTAAGAGACTCTGGCATTAGCATGTTGTATCTACTTTCTAAGTAGAACGTAAATCGTTCCTAAATTAAAATGTGTGTATTTCTGATTGTATGTGATTCTGTATATCGCAGAGATCAAATATTTTCATAGACTTCTTGTGTTTGACAAAGTTGGCTTTTGCCAACATGATATGTTTGTTCCTACATATATTTTTACATTTGTAAATTATTAATGTTTAATATGCGTCTGCTTCAGGACCACATTCCGTATTCCTACGGGGCCCCTGGATACTTTGACTCAGACTCGCTGTCCAGTGGCTCCCAGTACCAGGAGTACCAAGATTCCCCGTCACCATTGTCTGACAGGGGAGGAGGAATTGAAAGAGACCTCCTGCCTCTTGCCCCACTTTCAGGTATACACACAAACACATCGCAAGTTTTCTATGTATTTGTATTTCTTAAGTATGTTAGGGTAGGTTGCTTTGTTCGAGGACCATGGGACTTAAGACTCTCATTGCCAAAACTACATGAAGCTATTGTGCATATGACAATAAAGCCTTTTAATCTTTGAAAACATGTGCAGATGAGCAGCAAAACTTCCACATATCTACACAAAAAACATCTAAGTATTTAGTTTGAGGTCCTATGTTGTGTTGGGTTTATATACATATGAGTCATTGTCACCTCATATTTGTATTTACATCCCCTTCCTCCTTGGCAGGAAAGAGGAAGGAGCGGTTGTTCCAGTTCCTATTTGAGATGCTCCAGACTCCATCGATGCGGAGCTGCATCTGGTGGCTTCAATCCTCCTCTGGCACGTTCCAGTTCTCCTCTGAAAACAAGGAGCGCCTGGCACAGCTGTGGGGCAAGAGGAAGGGCAATCGCAAGACCATGACCTACCAGAAGATGGCGCGGGCCCTGAGGAACTACTCTCGCACAGGCGAGATAAAAAAGGTGAAGAGAAAGCTCACCTACCGTTTCGATGAGAAGACACTGAGAGGCCTTCAAGGAGACTCTCATTCAGTGTAGGAGGCATGATGAGTAGGCATATAAATTGAATAAGTGCAAAGGATGTTCTGATGGTCTTCCGGTTATCATCCTTTCTGATAACCTTTCTGTTTCTAATTATAAGTCGAAATAAATGAATACTGAGTATTTGAAAAGCCAGAAGATGTATGTATGACTGGCATTAAAACATATGTAAATCTTAAAGGTTATCACATAATATCTACTTCATAAGTAGAATTACAATTATTCTTTTTTTTTTTTAAAAGGTCTGCATTTCTGTTTTTATGTGATTCTGCATTGCAGATATTAAACAAATAAAATCGCTTCTTATTATTTACATAATTGGGTTTTGTAAAACATGATTTACTTGTGTCGAAATATCTTTTTTTAAATCAAATAAAAGAAAAATATTTTCAGAAAACAGAATTTGTTTCTAGATTTTGTTGATCTGTCTGTCTGCCTGTATGTCTGTCTGTCTGCCTGTCTATTTGTGTGAACAAAGATGTACTATGTAGTGCATATCAGCTAAGCACACACAGATGTGATTATTAACTGAAGCAAACACACACACCCACACAAACCAAAATTGTATGCAAAGTAAGCATGCATTGAAAAAGTGCCTCTAACAACCAGCCTGTTAATCAATAACCTAACAGTCCTGTAACACAGAGAGTGGACACACACACTCAACACATCAGAGAGGAGACTGTCTTTTATGCTGCCACAGTAAAGACAATACATGTTCATAGTCAAATGACGGGGACACATACATACATGCTGAAAAACATGTGACACGGGGGACCATTACATAATTGACTTCACTAAACATGTTTGACATCTTTGTTTTTATTTTTAAACGTAAAAACCTAACTTATCAAATGTAATGCCCTATGATCGATCAAGTTACACCACAGCATATAGGATAGTTCAAATAGTTACAGAATTTGATTGCTGCTCATACATAGTATAATATATTTCAAAATCTCATATTTGAAATACATCTGGCTTTACTTATTTAAGTATTTAAACCCTGTATTATCAGTATTTGTATGTAGTTAAGAGTTGAATACCACTGAAAATATGAAACACACCTTTGTGTGAAGAATGTGACATGACTCATTTAGAATGTGTCTCCTCTAAGTCTATTGAGACACAACTGTCAGTGTGAGAAAAGCATTTTTTACCAACTGATGAAATACAGATGGCGTCTCTACGGAGTGCACGCCTGTTGTGCGTGCACAGAAAAGCGCTTGCCTGTTGAATACAAAAATACTCCGTTCATTACATTTACGGTCATTTGAAGCCGAGAGCTGAAAGCGTGGAGGAACAGGTTTTTCAAAATGACAACCATAGGATTATGTTGGACATAACTTTCCACGGCCTTCAAGGAAAGCTGCTCTATCAAACTTCTCAGCTTCTCTGACTTTCTTCTTTCGTGATGACTGACTGGAGTTGGGTGGCCTACACAGTACTAGAAGTGCTGATTGCCATTTCCTGTTTCCTTGGCAATGCGTTGGTGGTGTGTGCGGTGTGTATTGGCATCCGGGATTCCCTGCGAGAGCCCACTTTCTGCTTCCTCGTATCCCTGGCAGTGGCTGACTTCCTGGTGGGTGTGGCGGCCGTGCCCCTGGCTGTCCTGTTGGATGGCTGGGTGAGTGTGACCCCTGACCTCTGCCTACTTCTCAGCTGTGTTGTGCTCGTGCTGACTCAGGCCTCTGTGCTGTCACTGCTCGCTATCTCTGTGGACCGATACCTCCGATTACACATTCCCCTCAGGTAAGGTCTAACTGATTTACAGCTAAGGAGCTTTATACTTGCTGCTTGATTTGTAGAAACAACCTTTCTTTCTGTTTTATCCCTCAGATACAAAGCCCTGGCCACACAAAGGCGTACATGGATGGCTGTTTCTGTGTGCTGGACTCTTTCCTGCATACTTGGGTTCACCCCTCTGTTTGGCTGGCGTAACTACTCCTCTCTAACATCAGATTTCACCAACACATCCTCCTCTTCCTCCATCTCTCCACCATGCACCTTCCTCTCAGTTATTTCCCTCCCCTTTATGGTTTACTTCAACTTCCTGGGATGTGTCATGGCCCCCCTGCTGGTCATGACCCTCCTCTACACTAAAATCTTCCGGAGCCTGCAGGGCCGTCTAAAGGAAAGCTGTCCCCAGGCCCAGGCCTCCCTGCTGAGGGAGAAGAGGCTTGCCTGCTCCCTGGCTCTGGTTCTCATTTTGTTTGCCGGCTGCTGGATTCCTCTGCACCTGATGAACTGCCTGCTGCTGTTTCAGGGTCCACAAGCTGTGACACGGGGGACACTCTATACAGGCAGGTATCTTTTCTAGTACTTACAGTTTGAAGTAGATATTCATTTCAAATATCACAATAATTGATCACACCACAGTCGCAGTGAAATCTGATAATAGCAAATCCATTTTACAGGTATTCTCCTGTCTCATGCCAACTCAGCAGTCAACCCTGTGGTCTACGCTTGTCGCATCCCAAAAATCCAACAGGCCTACAGTCAAATATGGAGACGCTTCATTGTGAGGCTGAACTGTTGCCATGGGGACAAGCAAGTTTGCCAATCAATAAAAGGCAGCCGAGCCAATCACATAGAGACATGTGGATCAGGAGGGAAAAGCACACCCTAACAAAGGACTACATGCTTTTTAAGTCCCTTATGTTTCAGTTTGGAGTTCATTATAGTTTTTCGTAAGGTTTTATTGCCCACTCACACAAAACATCTGAAAATCACTCAATCCAACAAATATTTGAGACTTTATTACACATAAACAACTGAAAAACTACTGGCAGCCAGAGAGTGTTTGTTTGTTTGTTTGAAAAAATGCATTCTCTTACTTGCCATTACAATCAGTGCCTGCTCCTTGTCTGCTGACTTTATTTGTATCAAAGCTATCTCATTAGTTTCCACTAGAGGATGCTGTAGACTAACACACTCACTAGCTGCTGTTGTACACAAACTATCACACCATCATAGTAGTTGACAAACACTTTCACATTCACTGATTATTGAACAACCCATTTTAGTCAAGTAAGACTTTATACAGATGTACATATATCAGTCATTTTACAGCCTCAATCATTTCATGTCTACATTTGTGCTGCTCATATAACTTGCTCTTTCTTCCTGTTATCTACAAATAAATGCGATACAAAAATGAGAGTGTGTTGAGGAATCATGTTCAGTGACTCCTCAGGGAAGGCAATAGACTGTATAGTTATCACCTGAGCAGGGTGCAGTCCCACCCACCAAACTATACAACCTACTACCTCACCCTGAAAGAGCCCGAATCAAACACGTCCACGTCCTATTCGGGAACATCAAACCTAATTAACCTGCACACAGATAACAATGTTTCACAATATGTTGACAACTCCAAGTTTTGATTGGAAGCGGGATTGCCCATCTGGAGATGACAGTCAGTGATTGGCTGACTCAGCTGTCTCCTTGGGAAAGACAGTAGATTGTATAGTTATCTCAAAAAGAGGTTACACAACCCCACAACTATTCAATCTACTACCTCAGCCCCAAGGACAGCATTCACGTTGCTTCCGCATCAAAGATCCTCAAAGGTCATTTTCCTGCAATGGTACATAGAAAAAAAGACAGGGGGGGTTATCTTAATTATTCTCTGTAAGATACATGCCAGGTAAAACTGGGTAGTACTGCCTTTTTGAGTGTATATTTACGTTTTAGATGGTCCCAACTCAAAGAGCTTAATTGTATTTCAGTTTAATTTCTGTGTTCCTGGAACTGAAAACAACTTATGTCTGAAAATTGCTTCATGACAACAATTCTTTAAAATATTTTAGAGAAATGTCTATGAATCTAAACAAAAGATGATTATGTTTATCGGCACATTTTCACCATTAAACCCAGCTTCTTTTTTTTGATACAGTGTTAAATGTCCTAAAGGAATTTGTTCCAATAAAATAAATGAAAGACAAATTATTTAACGGTTAGCAGACATCGGAAAGTGAGAGCACTAATGTGTAAAAGCCCAACAAACAACTCACTGGCTTCCTGAGACTTGGATGTGATCGAAAGTGAGAAAAAAGAAATGCTCGACTCTGTGCCAGGAATTTGTTTCCGTTTTTGGCCAAAAACTGAGCTCATTTCAGTGGGCTATCCCTGTGTAGGCTGGCTGCTGCTTCTCAGACGGTGGTACACACACACAGATGCCTGCAAATATGGCTTCCACCAGCTGCCTCTGATTGAATACAAGGCTGGGATTCTGCCCCCCAAAACACAACAAGGAAACACAAAATGGCGTCTCATTCATCGGCCATTTTAGTTCTGCTTAAAAACACTAGAAGGTCCACCTTTCCGCTTTTTTCCGAGGACGCTATCTCACGATGAAGAAAAAGTGTCTGTTCTATCGACAGTGATGGAGAATCAATCTTGTGCCAAGCACAGAGACGCAGCAAAGAGACCGAACGATGCGCTCACAGTCATGGATACAAAGTAAGAGAAAAACTGTAACAACACTTATCAGACAGAGGAAAAGTTCACAGAGGAGGAGTACATATATGCCACTGGTGCGATTAACAGATCCGCCCTCGTTTCGATCAAAAAGTTGGCACTAAACAAGTTAATTTCTTAACTTGTATTAATCTCGCTATTTGAGACTAGGCTCCCCGTCAGACAGATAAATACTCCACTCTTATGGGATAAAGGTTGGGATGGGCCAGCCAGTTAACATGGCAGCTACTGAAGGGTTAACGAGTGCCAGACTAAAATGCCAGACCTTGGCCTCAGATAGACAGAGAAGGGAATAGGAGGTACACTGCTTGCATAAATTAGCATACAGCCACAACCCCTGAGACATGGTCCAGGCCAGCCTATAGTTAGCATGCAGTAGACCCTGCTAGTCTGATTAAAGAAGACCAGACAGACAGAAGGGGGTGGGGGTGTGTTGGCATGATGCCCAACTCTGCCACCGTGCCAGTGACAGATCTACGAGCTCTGTTCGGTCGCCGGGAAACGTCCCTTGACTGGAGCTGTATTTGGAAGACAGACTAATAGTGAGATGACACAGTGTACTGGGGGGAAATTGGTCAAACTAATGAAGATTTAACAGGACTGAGCATGGCCTCCAATGAAAAATACATACACATTAAACACTAGTGGGGAATGTTGTGCTTCTGGGTTCCTGCACAACTCCCGACTGTTTAGCAAACACACGGGCCAATCTCGGTCAGTAATGTGATCTCTATTAGGCACTGTCTGTGATGGTGGACTTTGTCCATGGCACATAAAAGGGGCACACAAGGCTTGGTGGGGCAAATCATTTTCTCTGTCAACAGCTCCAAAATAAATGAGCCTTCAGCTCAGAGG